GTGATAAAAGTAAAAAGATTAAAAGAAAAAAATAAAAGGAAAATTTGTCCATGCGGTCTCTCTAGGAGCTGACACGTCGCCCACTCTCCAGCATGACAAGTGTCCAACGCTTATTGGCTGGTGAGTTTTTTTTTCTACCCACTTAGTTTTTCGACAATAACTTTTTGGTTCTTTGAAACAAAAATTTGAAAAGCCGAAAGCTCTTAAAAGTTAATTATCTACAAAATGAGCACAATCATGAATTTTTTTTAAAAAAATTATTTTTATATTTATAAAAAAAATCTAGAAATTTTTTTTCTTCCAAATATTATAAGAATTTAAGGAGTACTTCTACTCACTATTCTAATGACTTTGTAAATTTTTTTTATTTAAAAAATAAGGTGTTTTAGATACCAAACTTGATTTTAAAAGATTAAAAGTTTTTAAAAAAATTGTTGAATATAATATGATCCAAATAGAGACGATTCAAAATATTTATAATTCAAAAATATTATGATTCAATATATTTTTTATTCTTAACTTGTTATGATCTAAAAATATTTTGATTCAAATATTTAATGATTCTTAATTATTATATTTTTTATGATTAAAAATAAAATGACTCAAAAAATATAATGATAAGAATGTTGTATTGAACAAATACTTTATTTAATTCACTATATTATGATCCAAAAATATATAATGCATGCTATTCAAAATACTATGATTACAATTTTATGATTCAAAAATAATATGAGTCAAAAAAAAGTTTGAACGAAAGATATTATGATCATTATTATTCTTCTTATTTAAAATTTCATAATTGTTAATCATTAAAAACTCAAACCGACATTTAGTTTTAAAAAAAAAAAAAAAAGCAAAAAATATAAAATAAAAAAAAAAAACAAAAAAAACCCTACTATCTTCAAGTATGTAGTAAAGTTATTAAAAAAAGAAAAAATAATATTTTTTTTAAAAAAACGAAAAAAAATTTAAAAAAAACAAAAAAAATTTAAAAAACGAAAAAAGTTAAAAACGTTAAAACCGAGCACATATCTATTTAAAAAAAATGATTTCTTTTAACAAAAAATAAAAATGTTAATAAAAAATGAAAAAAAAAACAAAATAAATGAAAAAGAAAAGAAAAACTCATTTAAATGACTTTCTATGGACCTTCGTCATACATGATTATTCTCTCAAGTCCGTATTATGTTCTCTGCACGTGCGACGCATGCGAACGCGTCACGTCCAATTAAATGTATGTGGCGTTTGTGCCCTTAACGAAATGATTTGTGAAAAATAGTTATCGCGGTTCCTACCAATTTTTGGGTTCCTACCAGATCCGGAATATATGTATATATATATATATATATATATATATATATATATATATATATATAGATATATATATAGATATATATATAGATATATATATATATATATATATATATATATATAATATATATATATATAGGGTGAGGTTCAATAGAGAACCATAATTAACCAAGGAACCAAGGAACCAATCGTGAGCGTCGGAAATCATAACGATCAACGGCCAAGGAAATAGATGTACACTTTGACATTGGACGCACACACACCGGATTATACCATAAAATCCACCATTTAGAAAAAAACCCTCCACTTTTTTTCGTTTTAAATTTTTTTAGGCCACGTTTTTATCAAAAAAAAAACCGAGTATACCGTTGTTCACGATTTTCGTCCTCTTTCTATAGAGATCCATGATAATATATAAAAAACGAACTTTTTTTTTCGAAAAAAACTCACTTCATTTTCTTTGATGAAAAAAATTAAGGTCTATTTTTTATAGAAAAAAATTTCATAATATATCAATTCATATTTTTTGTACTTTTTAAACATAGATTCATATTCACGTTAAAAAAAAAAAAAAAAAAAAAAAAAAAAAAAAAAAAAAAAAAAAAACGATATTTCAGTTCAAATTCACATTGTGAACCTGTTCAGATTCATATTATAAACATGTTCAGATTCATATTGTGTACCTCCTTAGATTCACAGTGTGCATAATAATAAGTCATATTCACAGTGTGAATCTGAACTGATCGGAGCTTTTTCACATGTGAATGTTAAATTTGAAATATTTACAGTTTAGATTCACAGTGTGAATCTACACTGATCGAGGTTTTTTTTTTTTGTGAACCTTCTTAGATTCACAGTGTGCATAATAGTAATTCAGATTCACAATGTGAATCTGAACTGTTCGAGATTTTTCATATTGGGAATATTAAAAATTAAAATATTTACAGTTTAGATTCACAGTGTGAATCTACACTGTTCGAGGTATTTTTTTTTTTTTAAATCGGTGTTGATGTTTATTAATAGAGTACAAAAAAATTAATATTTTTGGTATAATTAGTTTTTTTTTATAAAAATAAACTTAATATTGAAAAAACTAAGAAAATTAAGTGGGTTTTTTTCGAAAAAAAAAGTTCGTTTTTTATATATCATCATGGATCTCTATAGAAAGAGGACGAAAAATCGTGAACAACGATATATTCGGTTTTTTTTTCGATAAAAAACTTGGCCTAAAAAAAATTTTTAAATGAAAAAAAGGAAGTGGGTTTTGTTATAATCCGGTACATGTGCGACCATTATAAAATTTTACAACCTTTCCTTTTGCCGTTGATCGTTTTAAATTACGACGCTTTAGATTGGTTCCTTGGTTCCTTGATTAATAATGGTTCTCTATTGAACTTTTCCATATATATATATATATATATATATATATATATATATATATATATATATATATATATATATAAACTTACTTGGTAGTGATGTTAAACAATTGAATTTTTATTATTTTGCAAGGATTATAATTTAATTAAGCTTATTTATTTTATATTATAGCAAAAGTATGTGTCGCTGTTAGTAGTATAAAATCACATTTGTATTTAAGGACATAAGCCCCAAAAATCTTTACTGTATCGTGGCAATTAAATAAATATCACTAAAACAACATAAAATCTATAATTGAACTAGTATTACATTCACAAAATATATGTTACAAAAAACTTGTATTCTAGTATAGCAAATAAACAAGTGTCACTATAGTCTCAGGATGCTATACCGTCAAAACCGAAAAGTACAATTAAAAGGTTTTATTAAGCCTTTTAGTGACATTTTTTTTGTAATGAGAATATATTTTGTAGTGAGAATATGGCCCTGGCTTACCCTTGGATTGTTTTCAAGATGGAGGGCCTAAACAGGCCCGGAGAAGGCCATGGGCAAGTAGGACAAAGGCACAGGGCCCATTGTTTTATGGGTCCCATTTTTTTTATCTGAGTATTGAGAGTATTAGTCCATTAATCCATTTGTCCGGTCCACTTTTGTAATTCGACCAGGCTATCAGGGAATTGGGACGTACGCATTACGCAAGAAGCCAAGAAAGCAACGAACGCCAAAACCAAAAAAGTGGAAAACAAACGCCAAAACTAAAAAAGTGGAAAAACGAACGCCAAAACAGAAGGCAGAAACGATTGCAATTGATTATTAAGCTTCGACGCTTTATCCAATATTCCAGCGAGTCAGCGACCATCGATCACTAATTGCTAATCAGGTAAGGTCTAATTTTACAGTCAAACACTCAAAGTCTCAAAACCCGAATTGAATTTTTAGTCTGCAGAATTGAGAATTGGTTATCAGAATTGTTTTGTTTAGTTTTGTTTATTGTTGGTTGTAATTTGGTATTTCCTGCAAAATTAAATTCTAGTTTTATACTTTTAGTTTATATGATATATTTTTTTGTCTTTTTACAGTAAAACAAGAAATCAAGAATATATTATACTCCCTCCGTCCCAATATTATTGTCCATAGAGAAAAAACACACATATTAAGAAAAACATTAATTATCACTAACTTTATTTAATAAAATGACAGTTTTTTCCTTACTTTGCATTTAATGTTCCATTAAATGCTTAGTTGGTTAAGTAATAATGAGAAGGTATTTTGGTAAAAATGTTATTTATTTTTAGAAGTGGACTATTATTTTGGGACAAACCGAAAAAGAAAGATTGACTATAATTTTGGGACGGAGAGAGTATATGTTATCACTTATCAAGTTTTAGAATAATAGAATTCAGTCAATTTCATTCAACATTCATGTATCTAGTTTGTGTTTTGTTCTAGAATTCAGAATTGAGTAATGAGTATCTAGGTTGTTTTTTGTTCTAGTATTGAGAATTCATATAATGACTATTGTCTACTATGATTTTGTTATGTTTATTGCTATAAAGTTTATTGTCATTTTAATAAAAAATTAGTTTATGTAATTGAATTCGTTAGACGTTAAGGCCTAAGGGCCTTTTTTATTCGCCTTGTTCTGGGCATTTGAATCATCAGGACCGGCCTTTGGCCTAAATACACAAGAGAGCACATAGATCGTGAGTAATAGTGGTGACACTTTTTGTGACGATGTGAGCATTAGAGCCGACAGTTAGTAGCATTACCGACAACATGTATTAGTGATGGCAAAACATTAGCAACCATATGAAAAATGTGTAGGGAGTGTAATAGCATGATTTTTTTATTGGCATTAGTAACCAAGCGAGAGCGACATCGATAGGGGCATTAGTGACGACATGACAGGTGTCGCCACTAATGCCTGCATCTTCTTCTATGGTCACTGTTTCCCATATTTCTTGTAGTTTGTGGTCTCCACACACTTAGGCCGGACAGTATGGGCTCGGCGACCTCACCAACACCCGACCGAGCCTTCGGCATGCCGAGCTCGGCTCGACAACTCGGTGACCAAATGCCGAGTATCATTCTTACCCCCCCCCCCCCCCCCCCCCCCTTTTGTTGATGTGGAGTTCGGCGACCTTGGCACAACTCTGAGCAGCCTTAGAGACCAACACACATGTCCCATTGGAGGTTTATTTACCAATTAATTATTAATACCCAAGTTCAAATGGATCGTCATAAAAGCTTAAAAGAGACAACATTTCATATGTATAGTGTATAGATATACTTTCAAATGTGTAACGTCAATCGCTTACCATCCCCTCTCCGTTCATCAAAAATGGAAGTTCTTGATTTTCTGACATGGCCTCATCAGCAGCGTGTTGTAGCTTCAATGCAAACTCGAGTCCCCATACGACATCCTCCATAGAGGGTCGTTCAGTCCCTTCCTCATGCAAGCAATTATTTGCTATTTCTCCAAACTTCAGTAAGCACCCACGTGCAATCTCACTACTTAGCTTTGGATCAATAATTTCATGCAAGGTTCCCCTTCTATAGCAAGACTTGCCCCATGTTACCAAACTCACCTGGTCGTCACTCAGCTGTGGAGATATAACAGGTCTTGCGCACGACACTTCAAAGAGAACCACCCCAAAAGAATACGCATCAGACTTGTCAGTGAGGTGTTTTGTTTTGCAATATTCGGGATCTATGTACCCAAGACTACCCTTCACTAACGTGCTAACATGTGTTTGAGAAGGGTCTTTGGACCCGAGCTTTGACAAACCGAAATCAGATACCTTAGCCACCCATTTTTCATCAAGTAAAATATTTGTGGACTTGACATCTCTGTGAATTATTGTGCGTTTTCCACTCGTGTGGAGATAATGTAACCCTTTGGCTGCCCCAATGCAAATATGAAGACGTGTTTTCCATGACAAAGGAGGGTTGGATGTCTTGTAGAGATGTTCACGTAGAGTACCATTAGCCATGTATTCATACACTAATATCATCTCTCCATCATTGTCACAGTATCCGACCAGTGACACTAGATGGACATGGCGTAGTTTAGATAGCATCGCGATCTCTGTCTGGAATTCGTGCAAACCTTGGCTTGATGATTGGTTGAGCTTTTTGATAGCTACGATGGTTGTTTCCTTATCCATGTACCCTTTGTACACCTTACCAAACCCACCTTTGCCTATGACATAACTTTCTTGGAATTCATCGGTAGCAGCTTTCATTTCTTTAAGTGTAAATTGACGACAACGATCAGATGGCAGTGATGATTGAAAGGACTTTGTAGACTTTGATTCACCTGAAGTTGGACAATAAGAGGATTTGTGGATTGCTCTCTTTCGCCACCATAAAACTATAAGAATAATAAAAGAAAACAAGACTATTCCTCCCCCAACACCTTCAGCTATCATAGCATATGGAGTTTCCTTCTTGTTCCCTTTGACGGGAGATGCCGGCCTTGTTTGTGGGGTTGTAGAACTAAGTCCAGGGTTGGGGCTAGAAAGATTACCACTCATGTTCAACTTGAAGACTTCCAAACCATTTAAAAAACCATCATCGTATTTCTCAGATTCTTCATTAGGACGCAATGCGAGCCACAAATCTTGCTTGCTTCCCTGGCCATCTAGGTCATTGGCATACACACCGTAATCCTTGTATACAGGATACCCGCTACCTTGAGTCCATTCGAATAGATCGGCTTCATTTTCAGCAGTTTGATTATTAATGAAAATTTTAAAAATCATCTGTCCCTTGGTCGTATAATTTGATATAATATTGCAAAAATGGAGTCTGAGCATGTAATTAAACCCAGAATCAACTGGAAGTAGCCATGTCAGATTATAATACTTCAATAGGTTGCCCATGCTCCTTTGGGTTTGATAAACTAGCTCAGGTGCGGTATAATTGGGTGTGTCCGTGGTGTACGTGATCGGAGTTCGAGTCGTAGGTGTTAACCCAAGCGTTTGTAATAAGTAATTTTCATCTCCATCCCATGATCGATACATCCCGGTGTCAGCGTTACTGGAAATGTGCTCCCCGCCAACGTTAAGACGGTAAATGCTTTCAAGAGCAGTGAAGTTATCAATGACGGATCCTGAATTTTGACCGACGTATTTAAATTTATTGGCTTTAAAATACAGTTTTTCCGGCATAGAAACGATTTCAATACCATTGATGAAGGCATATGAGTTGGGTGAGGGAAAAAATGTAACGTTTAGGAATTCTGTGTCTTTTACATAGACGATGAATTCTTTGACAAAGCTTGCTTCGGAGAGAAAGGAAGCGGTCAGGAAAGCGCTGAAGTTGGTCATGAGAGAGTAACCATTCGATGATACGGAGAAGAAGGACTGGTTTGAGCTGAGGTCGGAATAGGTGGCAGGATAGAAATAGAGGCGGAAGAATTTAGGGCCTTGCGAAACGGGAAACTTGTAGGTGAATGAACAAGTGTTAAAGAGACGAGCGGTGCTGTAAAGGATTTCCGGCGGTGGAGGATATTGGGCTGCGGGAGTGGATAAAAAGGACGTGGTGGTTCTGTTTGTGTTGAGTAGGTGAAGCCACTCAAATATTAGTGGCAGAAATCATGATACCCCTCAAATATTAGTGGTTGAAAAGCAAGTCAAAAAGGTGGAAAATGAGAGGTGATCCATATTTCCCGGATGCATGTTTCATGGCTGCTTTTCTTGTTCAATTGTTTACTTCAGACTCTATATATGAGTCTCATCTGTATTGTAAAAATTAGCAACAAAGAGTGAGTGCAGATTAGCACCAAGAAATATAAACTCCTAGTTACCTCGTGTGGATGTAGGTCAGAAATAGACCGAACCACCTTAAATCTTTGTTGTTCGTGTGTTTAGAGTGGTGTGTTAAGTGTCTCGATCCTAACAAGTGGTATCAGAGCAAGGTTTTAGCTCCAGAAGGTGATTTTCAGTTTTTTGGTCGAAATTTTTTTTCGTCAAAAACGATTTTGGTGTATAATGTTGGAAAGGTCTCGTTCCGAAGATTCCGAAAATATTTTTTTCTGAATTTTTTGACCACCGGAAGACGTCCAAATCGTCGGTCAAAGGTTGCCGGAATAGTTACCGGAAAAACCAGTTTCGCCGGAGAAGACGACACTGTAGCACCGAAGTTCCGCCGGAGAAGACAACACTGTAGCACCGGAGTTCTGCCGGAGAAGACGACACTGTAGCAGGTACTGTAGCACGACGTCAGCGGTGACGTCAACAGAAACTGTAGCAAGCACTGTAGCACGACGTCAGTGGTGACGTCAGCAGGCACTGTAGCAACACTGTAGCAGATTTGAAAAATTGCAGTTTAGCCCCTAATCTTTCAGAAAATGGCAGAAAACAGTAAGCTTCAGATTGAGAAGTTTGATGGGAAAGATTTTGGTTGGTGGAAGATGCAAATTGAAGATTTGCTCGTGCAGAAAGACTTGGACGCAGTTTTAGGTGAAAAACCGGAGGCGATAACACAGGCAAACTGGGAGATTTTGGATAAGAAGGCCAATGCATTTATTAGACTGACGTTGTCAAAGGATGTTGCCTTCAACATTTTGAAGGAGACCTCGGCAAAGGGAATCATGGAGGCATTGTCTAATATGTACGAGAAGCCGTCGGCAGCAAATAAAGTCTTCCTGATTCGGGAGCTAGTCAACACGAGGATGAGAGAAGGAAGTTCAGTTACAGTACACATCAACAATTTGAACTCGATTTTATCCAGACTTGGGTCAGTGGGAATAAATTTGAGGACGAAGTTCAAGCTTTACTACTGTTATCATCATTACCTGACAGTTGGTCCGGAACAGTTACAGCTGTTACTAGTTCCTCAGGATCGAAAGAGCTCACTTTTGAGGGAATTCGGGATTTAATTCTAGGCGAAGACGTCAAACGAAGAAATTCCGGGGAATCATCAACTGAACAATTGAATGCGGTCAGAGGTAGAAAAAATAACAGAGGTAGTGGGAGCGGGAACACAGGAGAAGGAGTCAGTCGAGGACTCGAAATGATGTGACTTGTTGGAACTGTAAAGAGGTTGGACATTTCAGGAATCAATGTCCAAAAGACAAGAAAGAAGTTAACGCTGCAGTAGACTATTCAGATGATGATGTTTTGATCTGTAGTGTGGAGAGCAATGTGGATTCCTGGGTTATGGATTCGGGTGCTTCATTTCACGCTACCCACAGCCGTGAAGCACTGCAGAATCTGAAAGAAGGAGATTTTGGTAAGGTAAGACTGGCGAACGATGAGGTTCTTGATGTGACGAGCATAGGTGACTTAGTTTTGAAGACTCCAGTTGGTCCATGGACTTTGAAGGATGTCCGGGTAATTCCAAGTCTGAAGAAACAGTTGATTTCTGTTGGGCAGTTGGATGAACAGGGACACGAGGTTAAGTTCAGGAATGGGCAGTGGAAGGTTGTCAAAGGAAATCTGTGATAGCTCGTGGACATAAGAAGGGTTCATTATATATGGTCAGATTACCATCTGAGGGAGTAACCGTCCCAGTTCAGAAAAAACAAAATCCGGTTCATAGAGTCTCGTGGACAGAAGAAGGTTTGCTTTGCAGATGGCAAACCCAGAGTCACAGGTCAGATTCAGGTTGAACGTGTTTGGAACGGTTCAGAAAAACCAGTCAAGGGCATTCATAGCAGTGGGAGCAAGGGTTGTGCTTCAGCTAGAATACCCATAACACAGTGGGTTAAGAGAACCAGTATTCCATCTGTAAAAGTCTCTCCAGATTATCTGTTTCACATGGAGAGTGTCGTTTGTTCTCAGGATGTTCCAGGATCGGGCAGTTCATTTCAGTGGGAGCCGGTGGAGAAAGAGAACAGGTCAGTGGCAGACTTAGCCATGACTGATGTGTTGGAGCTAACGGAAGCTTCAACTAGCCTGCAGGTAAATTGAAGAGAAGGCTGGGTAACTAGGAAGGAGCTAAGATGAAAAGTTTTACGGAAATACAAATGCACAGTTGAAGCACATGTGAAGATTATTCTGTGGCTTCAAGTGGGAGATTGTTGAGTAGGTAAAGCCACTCAAATATTAGTGGCAGAAATCATGATACCACTCAAATATTAGTGGTTGAAAAGCAAGTCAAAAAGGTGGAAAAGGAGAGGTGATCCATATTTCCCGGATGCATGTTTCATGGCTGCTTTTCTTGTTCAATTGTTTACTTCAGACTCTATATATGAGTCTCATCTGTATTGTAAAAATTAGCAACAAAGAGTGAGTGCAGATTAGCACCAAGAAATATAAACTCCTAGTTACCTCGTGTGGATGTAGGTCAGAAATAGACCGAACCACCTTAAATCTTTGTTGTTCGTGTGTTTAGAGTGGTGTGTTAAGTGTCTCGCTCCTAACAGAAGGCATGAATTCAGAATTTTCATCGCCATCCCATGGCCGGGAAAAACTGGTGGTGGTGGAAGATGAACCACAGTCTAGAAGGAAATGTTCTGTCGCTTTGTATGGTTGAGCGGTGGTGGAGAGGAGGAGCAAAGAAAAGAGTTTTAAAGTGAGGATGAACATGATTTGGTACATAGGTTATATCTTATTTGGTCCTTATAAATCATAGAAACATTATAATATTCTACTGTTGTAGACTTGAAAGCGGATACTTTCCAAGTGTTTTCGTCTAAACATCTCAATCGATCAGGGAAGAATATACAACCATTTGGACCGTGGACTAGACAAGTCAAAAAAAAAACGTGGGGGGGGGGACCCAATTGATATTTGGCGTAGAAAATTTATAATGATTTTATTCTTTCAAACAATGAAATTATCAAATAAAATGTTATATACCATATTTTATGTGGATAAATCTAAACCTTACACACATGGTTATCTTATCTCAAACAAAACAAGACGTACTTTCTCCCCCAAGCTGTTTGGAACATTATTTGTGAATTGTATGAAATGTTTCTATACTTTTCTATGAAAGTAGTCCATACCGCCTACATATTCTATATTTTACATTTCAAGTTAAACTACTGGAATAAAGGTCTTTAAGAGGGGCGGAGCCAAGATTTGAGGATAAGGGGCTTATATTGTGTCCGACAAAGATCTTGGACGATAATGATTTTTTTCTGTATAAATGGCAGTTACATATTATATTGGTTAAGCAAAACCACATTTGTGAATGAAAATAAAAGAACTACTTACTATGTCGGTTTATCCGCAGTTAAAAGACCCATCAATGATGAATTATAATATTAAAATGAGGATAAATCGTAATTAGAATAAATGGGTTGAAGTCAATAAGATTTTAGTTGTGGTCCCTAATTTTAGTGATAGTCATGACCCTATATATAACAACTGAAATTGAAATTTCAATAAAGATTGGGAAGGGCACTCGGAAGTGGGAAAGGCTTAACACGAATAAATAAATAAAAACAAATGTGGGCTTCAAATTTGTCGTACCCTGATTATTTATGTATACTATAGTTTATAGTTTGAAGTTTTAAAGGAGATTGAGGGGGGCAGAGCATCCGGCAGCCCCCCTACTGTCTCCGCCCATGGTCTTTAATAACATGCAAATTACTATATGTCTAGCATTTTTTGGGTCCTAAAAAAGTCATCTCGTATAAAATTTTAACATGCATTTTTTGCGAGACCTAAAATTGGCGTCGTTTTATAAAAATTTTAAGAAGGCTTTCGTTTCTTATTGAAATTGAAGGATTTATGCTTATAGGGCCATGAAATTGAAGTCGAAGGGTTAGGGTTTCTTTTGTTACTAAAATCGGAGGATTGGTGGTTGTTAAGAACACATCACTCTATCTTGACCTCGTCCCCATCTTGCAGTCAGTTCTCTCCTATGTGTATGTGTACATGTTACCCAAATCGACACAACCCACAGGTCCTCCTTGAGTCTCTTCTTCTCTATCAATTTCTTTCTTAATGTACACTGAATCCTGATATAAGTTTGTTGTTGGATTTTTAAATTGTCAGTAAATCCTAATTCTTGACTTGGATTTGTGCAATTTCACCAAGTGTGCTGATTTTTGAAACCCTAGATTTTCAAACACCGTATGAATTCTGATATGGATTTTTTTTCTTCTCCTTCGATTTCTTTCTTAATGTACACTGTATTCTGATATGAATTTTTGTTTCTTTTTTTTGCTTGAACGTGTCTACATATCCTTACTCTAGTGGCATTCTCGAAATCATTTATAATGCATTTGAAAAGGAATCTCATTATGTTATTTGAAAACCTATTTTTTTTCTTGCAATTATGATCTTAAATATTCAAAAGAAGAACAAGATGCTGCTAATACTAAGAATAAGAAAGAGTACAGAGAATAGAGAATGTGACCGCATCTAGTATG